TAACGAAGATATTTCTGTTGAAGAATAATATCAACAGTAATAGTATCATAAATTTTATTAATCAGAGCTCCTATAAAGTGTCTTGTTGAAACCATATGTTAACGAAAAAAATCTTAAATTTTTTCATGAGCCCAAAAATGGAAATCCCATGGGATAAGAAAGTCGTCCTATTCCATCCTATTCAGAGCTCTGTTCACCATATTTTCCCTGCCTGACAATTGAATTGTCTAAATTGAACATATTGGAGCCAATCAGAAATACTTGAAATCGTCTCCTCTAGACGGATGGATTGCCTTGTAACGAAATCGACTATCTTTATCTGTATCTCTTTCTCTATATTGATCTTGTGACCGTTGCGCCTGATTACCGTTCATTGCTCATCTCTTCTATATAAGCATGTGTTTTGTGTATAAAGAGAAGAACTTCTTGCGTGAAGAAGCCAAATAAAGCAAGTATCACTATTTCACAGGTACTGCTCTCTTTAAGTTCGTCACACATCTTATTGAAATAGTTCATGTATCTTAATTTTTTAGATTGAACGCCATAAAATTCTTTCATTAAAAGGAAATGTGTACTTATTTCGATTGGGAAGATGATGGTAAAGAATTTGAGATTTCACTTCGTCATCTTTCACATGAAGCATGTGTAGCACTTACTCAGCCGTCTTATTGGGAACAAGTAAATATTGAATTAATCGCGAAATAATATTTATTATTATTCTATAAATATGTGTATTATCTATTAGTTAAAAAAAGACACAACAATTTCAATATCAGTAATTGGAAATTATGTTCCCATGGAATTCGAAGAGATAATCGAAGATGATGAACCTTCGAGACTTGAACTTATCATTGAAAGCAAAAATGAAAAAGACAAAAAAACATTACAAGGCTTGCTTTTTTTAATATTTTATAAAGTCAATAACCTTGAACAAAATTTTCTATTAAGATATTAGTTTCAAAATTGACCATCGTCTCTTTTCTCGACCACGCAAGAATCTTTATCCATCTAAAGAAGTTGTATATCATAATCATCCTTAGTACATGATTGTTTTTTCTTTATATATTTAGCACGATAATGGTTATACGATAGTGGTGACCGATCACTTCGTCGCACGACACTTCGTCGCATTCACTTCGTCGCATTCACTTCGTCGCACGATCACTTCGTCGCAGAATTTCTTTCGTTCTGTTCGTTGCAGAAAAATTTCTTTCGTTCTGTTCGTCGCAGATAAATTTCTTTCGTTCTGTTCGTTGGAGAAAAAATTCTTTCTCTATGCTCATCACTATCCATTCGTTGCATATATCTCTTAATTATTTTTTTTTAATGAAAGATGTAAAATTAATGAGTTCGCTCATATTTATTTTGCACAGAATAC